TATGCTAATGTGCGTCGTCGACTACTAGCAAAAAATGCGACTGCGTCAACTTGAAAATGCTAATGTGCGTCGTCGACTACTTGCAAAAATGTGTCTGCGTCAACTTGAAATAAAAAAAGGAAAGTCACCTAGGGGGCTCGTTTTGCGTCGACAACTTGAAAAGTGCAAGTTGCGTCGTCTACTAGGGGGACTTGTTTGCTTCGACAACTTGGAAAATGAAGTGTCGTCGTCTATAAATTAAGGAACCGCGTCAACGACAAATACGCTGTAGTGTGTTAGTGACTGCCACAAATCATCACCCGTTAAATCGCGACTACTACAACTCGCTTTGCGACAACTACTAATTAATTAGCGACGACTGTGAATAAGTTTTGTGCTGATTGCTACTACTCCAATTTGTAAACGTAGACATCGGAAATCGCACTTTTGATGAAGAAGCAGCATAATTTTGAAGCTATATGTTTTACCATGCAATTTATATCGACGCAGCAGGGTCCCGTACGGCTTTCCATAAAAACGTGATATGTGACCGTTAAACTTGAACACTGTCGTGTCTACGCTCCCTTTCTTGCAACTTTCTCGTAAGCCACGGCACCTGAACCGAGCGAAAGTGTCATCAGAGCAGAACTACATAATGAGATGCGAGTACTCGAAAAAGCTACGCTTTTTATTTTTACTAAATATCGGCGATGACACTTTTGTTGTTGAATATCAATTAAAAATCGTATTTGAAGTAAAAAAGGGCCTACTATTTGCTGACTGAATTCGCTTGGAAGCAAGTCAGTCAAGCTTGCCGACAGTACTGCCGTGAATTACAGGTCGTCGTTTTTGCTCTAAAACTCGTTACAATCGGAGTTTCAAGCTGATTAGCAAATTGCTGTGTTATGTCTGCCATCGTTTAGGCCTATTTGAAGTTTTGAACGGAACTTGGCTCAGTGATTTGGAACTAATTACCAGATAACCGCTGCTATTCAGACTACTCATTCTGACAGTTTATATTCATAGTTATTAATTTAGTGAACGATTAATCAAAAGATATGACGTATACAGTTCTTAGTGTGATTGGCTTTATGATTGAAGGTTACGCCTTAGAGTCTTTTTACTGCTTTGTAATTGGTTAGAGTTTTGAAAATGAATAAAGAGAGTTTTGAGTTGGTCTTGGGGAGCACAGCACGATAGACGCAGTCGAGAGGGCAGTCCTGGAGAGCCTTGGGGCGAGTGTTGACGCAGTCTAAGAGAGTCTTGGGTCAGCCTTGCGATAGTCTTGGGGATTTTTTCCCCAGGGCGCTGTGTCTGATAGAGTGCTCGATTGACCGACTAAGACGAGAGCTGAAACGTATTTCGTTGTGTGTGTCTTATTTGACTGTAAAGTATAAGTGACTTCCTGATCCCGTACCTCAAGGGGACGAGATATAGAGACGAGACGAGATTCCCCCCTGACACGTGTGGAGAACCCCGTGAGGAGGGATTTTCCCCCTGATAGTACATTAGTTGAAGGAATTGGATTTTCGACTTAAAAAAGTACAAATGTACAGTCATCTTCGTTTGGCCATACACATGGCAAATATATGGCGCTTATAGAGTGTAGCACTAAAAAAGTCGACAATCACCACAACGTTCACTGTTCCTTGAAAACACAACCATCGGCGATCTATTACTTAAATCGTTCTTTTTTACAACTCGAATATGGAGAGTTAAAATAAACTTATCCCGATAATAATTTATTATATAGGGAGTCTAGGGAATTAAAAACTTATGAATACCATAGAATACAAAGCCGCTACATATTATGACATGTCATTTCATTTGTGTTTTAATTCACAATCCACGCCAGTTACAACGCCTTCATCGACGGACGCAGACATGAACTGGTTTCAGATGTTCAGATGTTCTTTGTGATGACTTCGTTACAGATCACTTAAAAATTTACCATCAACTATTTGTATTACGTGTACCTATACTTTGCGTCACAGAAAGTGTTGAGAGGTTCTCTTTCTACACAAATCTTTGGTCGTTTGTGGTTTTGATCCATTATGGTTCACATATAACTCTAAGACGTGTATAATGTGTGTTTTTTTTCAAGTATTTCTTTTAATTTTAAATTTACCAGTTTAAACATCCACATGTTTAAAACAGCCTTGCACAAAATACATGGATTTGTTACAAAAATAATCTTATATATACTATTTTATCATAGTATCATATCCTGCTAATATTGCATTAGTATACACATATTCACAGTCCTAAAACCACAGACCCACACGACTTTACAAAGAAACCAACCTGTAAGACCAACCTGTAAGACGCTAAATTTATACACTATATATATATACATATTTCTTTTTCAACTCAAATAATTCGAACTTAAATTTACTTAGGTTTCTGAACACAGAGTGAAACTCGTTCTCTATACCATTTTAACAGGCTGAAGAGCGAGAGTGAGAGTGCATTAAATGACTGTCTAATGTTACTGATAATTGACGTATGTAGTTAATGGTACATGCCTTGATTTTCGTTGTTTGTTGTTTATTCTTTGGTTTAAACAATTATTTCACTTTGTTCATTCTCTATTATGCTGTTGTTGTTTTTGAAGGTGGTTTAATTGGATCATAGCAATGATGAACGTTGTTATATGTTATTATTATTATACTTCACCTGACGAGTTTTTGTTTCCGGAACAATTTTGTTAACATTCCTGACCTACTTTCTTGTTTTGGCAATCAACTGTCCCAGATTTCGAAATATTTTATTCTATCTAACAAACTGCAATCTTAATGAATAAATACGACGTTTATATATATATATATATATATATATATATATATGTGAATGGCAGGTAATGACTGACATGGCACACAATAAGAGAAACAAATAATACAATATATATATACATATTATCATTTCTGTGTCTTGAAACAAAACTCAGTCGTCGTATATTTTTTTTAAAAACGGTAAAAAGACGATAGTTGAATACAGTATTTCTATTGTAACATTTGAATACATGTGTAACATTTGCATATATGTGTAACATTTACATATATGTGTAACATTTGCATATTTCAAACTAGAGAGAAAAGAAAGAACGGCGTTTTCCGCACATTGTAGTACATTGTTCAATAAACGCAGGCACGCTTTACAGTGAGGGCGCTTCATTACACTGAATTGTCTTGCATTGCTATAAATTGCAACTACGTCCCAGAATTGCAGACAATGTTGATTTCTAAGGTTTCTGTTCAAAAATAGTCTACATTGTGTGGAACATAACATATTTGAATATCGAGTGATCGAATGATGCCTTCTGGTACGGGCTCACTTTACAAATAAAATCGGCAATGTTTTGATCTAAAAAATAATTCGGTGATTGAGTGCGCAACTTATAGGGAAGGTCAAGGTGTACTACACGTGAATTCCAAATATGGGGGAGACAGGTGGTGAAATGACAACTTTGGTAGCAGAGTCGATGACAGACACGTAGAAAATGTTATCAAATATTTGGAACTATCTGTAAAAGAACAATCAACAACGGTACATACAATCGTTTGGTACACCATTTTCACGCCACCATTTCGAAGGTTCAACGTTTTTATGTAACTAGCGGCCGAAGCATTTACCCATAAATACGTCTAAATTTTTACTTTTACTATGCATGCAGTTCGGGTAGACTAGTTGATGCGTTTTTTCAATAGTTTAGTGAATTTCACGTCTCCGTTCAAGAAATACGAACAATGTGGTGGTGCATTTTTTATCAGAACATAACTATTTTCCCTTGCATTATTTTTGAGATTGGGCTCGGTGCATTCCTTTATCAGGGCAGCTTGTCGTTGACGTAGTTCCTGTAGATGATATTCAAAACACGGTCCGTACGTCGATATCTTGTCCAATAGCAACCCTTTAAAGTGTTCATACAATTTTAAGTCCGCGTTATTCCATTCAAGAATTTGTTCTTTCGTGTTTGTTGTGATAGATCGCCTTCGTCCATCACTACGTATGCCACTGGAAATATATAGTATATCATCCAACGACCAACAAAGCTTGTCTCGCAATAGTATCAGCGACTCGTCAAAATATTCTGTTACAAGAACAAGATCGAACTCACTGTGCAAAGCGTTTATCTTCTCACTCACCTTTTTGGCGTCGAGAGTTTCCTGTGGACTCAATCCCAGGTCAAACAATTGCCCGTTTCGCGTATTCCCTCGCATCGAATTAGTATTTACCACGTATTTGTCGAAATTACGGAAGAACTCACCGATCGGGTCACTGAAACTTTTTGGAATCAACTTGTCCCACTGAAAATAGCCGAATGCTGATTCGAACTGTGCCACTGGATATCGTAGAATTGTGATGTAGGTAGCGTTTGGTATGACCGCTTCCAATTCCGGACGATTGTATCGTGCATGATTGGTCAACATATCGTAAGTTCTGTTATTCGATTTTTTTGTTACCATATATTGTTTAAAAAGATACTTTAGAGAGAAAAAGTGACTGGCTTTTGGTAAAGCCATTGTCAAGTTCTTAGTATACACATAGCGTTGAAGAATTGAGGCGATCGTGGAACTTCCTGTTTTGTGGGTTTTAATAAAGATAACTTTTTTCGTTGGGTTGCATTGCATGCTTGAGTTCAGTCTTCTCAGGCACATTTCCAATATCGTCTCGTCTTGGCCATTCCGACTGAAAAAAAAAACACAGAAAGAAACAGACTTCATTTGACGCTTAATCACACGAATCCTTCAATTTTCCATTTTCCAGTAATAATGCGACTTTAAAATTGTAATGTCCCGAGACCCCTATAATGTACAAACTCATACTAGTACGTAATTGCTGGGTGATGTTTACGTGCCACAAAACGTACCCTATAGCATTTAAGCCAGCGACGATAAAACAGCCATTTCACCGACAATCTTTTTGGCGTGATTTCGATTTAACAAAACATCGAGACCATATGGCGACAGAGAGAAAATATGCGCAGCATGATATGATATGATATGATGTGATATGATATGAATACCTTACTGTTCTATAGTTGATATAAACTAGGACCGTTCAACCTCAGAGCACGTTGTATAAATTTGTATTAATGCCATCCAATGTTTTCGAAATATACGAAAATTATATTACACATGCCAAATATTACTGTTATCATTCTCCCGCGTACTTGCTACGGAATAGTATTCTGACATCACTAGCACTACACTAACTCATTAGAGTATTTCATCTTTTTATCTAATCTTTAAATTCGGTCAAAACTGTGACCTGTTCATTGAGCGTTAACTGGTTGGCATATAAAAGACGTTTCATACGATACTAACACTGATGTTTTTGTTGACATATAACATGAACTCTGCCTAACTGCAGTTTTAATGTTACTCTATCAAGGCTGACATGACTCCACTTACCCGTAAATAGCAAATATATCGACATCTTTGCTTTTGGTTGGCGATAGCATGAATACTTCAGTTCGCAGAATAAGGAAACCATATATAGAGACGACACATACGAATGTAATTATCAGTGCTTTCTTTATCCATCTATACATGATGGCGTCCAGAAATGTAACATTACACCCACAGCAATGAACTCAAGTGACTCTACGCGTGTCATTTGCAGTACCAGTCTACTACTGCCCACAGGGGGTGCTACGCCGCGTATAGCCCCCGATCTTGCAAACCATAAGCACCAGCAATCATAATACTATTAATATTACCGTTATTGACATTATTCTTTTTTAAATTGATCTTAAAACAAAGCCAACCTAATACTTTTCATTAATCACACGTATTATAGGAAAGATGAATCTATCAATGCAACTCATAACAATTCCCAGGAATAAACACTGTCTCATATAGAGAGGATGTCCTCCGTGATATGTATTTTTAGATTGAATGTTGATTGGTCGGTTTCGTTGGAGGAAATGGTGCTTTATGGGTGATTGAATGTGCAACTGACTGGAAATAGTACAGTATCATGGTGTCAATACTTACGTTCAGAAATTGTCAATCGTTTTCATAATAAAGTTAATAAATAAAGTTCAGAAACTAAGAAGTGAAGCTAAAGTAACTAATGACAAAATGAAGAGTCTCGAGTCTGAAAATAAACAGTTAAATGAGAAAATCGACCGATTGGAAAATAAGCTAAGGATAAATTAAACATAGCAGACAACATAGAATTCGAAAGAGTCCACCGAATGACCGGGTCACGTGTTAAACCTCAACACATTATCGCCAAATTCAGTCATTTCAAAGACCGCTCAAACGTGTTAAAGAATGCGAGAATAAATAGAAGTTCGTTGGATGCTGGTATGCGTGTCGGTGAAGATTTCTCAGATTTGGTGAGAGAAAAGAGACGCATGTTATGGCCGAGTATGCAGAACGCACTGGAAGAAGGTAAGCGCGCAACAATGAGATACGATAAGTTGATTATCGAGGGTGAAGTTTATATCTACAACCTTAAAACTCAGACCGTGGTTAAAAATGGA